CACACACACACACACTGCAGAGGCGCTGGTGCTGATGTAAACGTCGACAGCCGCACTTATCACGAGGGCTCAGCAGACAGACGTTATGATTCATGAGTGACAAGTTTTTAGCGTGATAAGTTATAACGTATCTGATTTTGAATGTAGTATGACTGTAGCCTATATTCAAATAATCACAATGCCAAAATATTTGTTAGAGTGGGACAGTGACTCTCTCAAAACGTGAATTATTGTGGAGTGAGTTGACACGAAGGCTCTATCACAGCAACTCCGAAATCAGAGCACATTTGAATTAATTAATCAAAACCGAAACTATAAATATGTCGGTTAATAGGATCCTGTCTTTTATCTTTTAAACGGTCCAGATTGATAAATCCTTGAAAACTGCTAGACTTGATTAGTTTTGACAGTGCAACGTTTGTTTCGAGGGTATCGGTTAATTTCTTGATTGCTGTTTTGACAGTGTCTGCTTGCATATTTTATTCATGTCGGTAGCCTAATTCTCTTTAATGTAGGCTATTTGCCCCGATTTGATCCGTTTACCTGGGAAATTTATATAACATTATATTTATATTATTTTGTCGTCATTATTTTGTTTTAGTTAGTTAAAAATTACCCTTATCAACCTTGATTTACATATTCCATCACATTATTTTGACAATAGTTAAAGTTTTGGGCGGGTTTTTGTGAGCTTTTGGGCTGGAAATCGTCCATCCAATCTGGCAACACTGACAGAGAGAGAAAGAGGTGTGTGCGCTGGGAAAGCAAGACCTCGCGCTCGCGCGGCAGTACCGGCGAGTCTCAGAAACTAAATAAGCCTAAGGTTTGGGCAAACCCTAAAGATTTGTCACTAGGCGCTTTTTTGAAAGAAAAAAAAGTCACTACGGGCTAGGCCAGGGGTCAAACAGAAATTGCGCGCTCCGTTAATCGCACGTTAATAAAATTTGTGCAGTTAAAATGAATTTGCGTTAATTTTGACAGCCCTAATATATATATATATATATATATATGCAATACATATTTTATATTTAAAATAATTAGTTTCCATGTGTTTTAATAATCAGTTTTTGCAAGACTGAAGGAAAAGTTGGTTGGTTGATTGGAACAGCGGTTAATGTACTTCAATATGAATGAAAGCTTTTCAATAATTCAACAAGGTTTTTCAGTTTTAAATGCGTGCACAGAAGGGTTTCAATTTGACTGCTGACATGCTCGTACCTTCTGGTTGTGAGTTTGATCTGTCATGTTGCGGTGTTGTGATGAGGTTGGGGGACCACCATAACCACCACCTGGGGAAGGCCGAACTTCTGGTTGACTCCTTAACTGAAAATGAGGACGATTTATTGACTTTATTAATATTATTTATCTCCTGTACACAAACTCTCAGCTTCATCCACATTTAAAAGCCATGTTTGACAGAATCGGCTCATAGTGTATTGCTAAAATCTTAAATTTGAAATTAAAATCTCCATCACAGTGTCTTACTTTTTGATTTTCTTACATCAACTGTCCCTTGAAAAACAAGAGAAATCAGCAGATAAATGAGTCCAAAAACCATAAAAAAGAAAGTTTAAAACCTTCATGGAGATGAAGTATAAACAGTAACCTAGAAGATTAACAGCAAACTGTATTTATTGATTTAAATCTAGAGATTATTTACAGGTAGAGGTGCTCGTGGCTCATTCCCACTTCCGTCCCTAAGGAAGATCTCCCTCTGCTTGGATATGGAGGTGGTCTTGTAGAACTCCACAAGCTTGTTTAGAGAGGTAAACTTCTCCGTCCACAGGTAGTACTGGCATGATTTATCCTTCATAACTTTAAAATGTTGTACATCATACTCGTGTCTGAACAGACATAAGAGATATAAATAAATGAACGTGAGAAAAATGAAACCTAACTGTTCACACTTATTTGGTGTTATATGACAGACTGATATATATATATATATATATATTTAATCTCACTTATAAAAAGCTATGCAGTCATTGAGCAGAAGATTCTAACTTATTCGAGTTTGATTACCAGCCCTCAGAATGTATTAACGTACAGCAATTATTAATAAACTGCCATTAACAAAAGCTGCACAACCCACTTTCTGCACTAGAGGGAACCCTCTCTCTCTCTCTCTCTCTCTGTGCATTCAGTTTGGACCTACTGTACAGGTGATTTATGAGAGGATGGCTGAAACAAATGGACTGTCTGACCGCTGTAATAAGATGGATGTTATTGATGCATTATTGATGGAGTGTTTCCATAGGCCAGATTCAGTGTGTGTGGGCCGAGATGGCTCAGGTGTGAGGCTCTAGTCTATGAGGATCTTTCATCCTCATGGCTTAAAAAAGACTGACAAGACAATTTGTGGGATTACAGATGCACAGCATTTTAAGGGTGACCTTCATGTGCTAGCTGAAATACTAACACTAGGCTAACAGGACTGTGACTGTGATATTTTGAAGAATATTTGGTTACCACTGACTTCCATTATATTGACAAAAATGTTGCATAAAACTAAGAAAGTTATACAGGTTTGGAAGGACGTGATGGTGGGTAAATAATGACAGAATTTTCCATTTTGGGCGAACTATGCCTTTAAGCAAACACACAGGCAAAATCAAAATCTGCAATCCTAATACAAATCGACTAATTCTATTCTCTCCTCATTTTTGTTACCTGACTGAGATGGAGAAGTCTCCAGGGGAACTCTGGCTGCCACGGATCAGGAAAGCACCCACCTCTCGGGACATGAGCATCTCCTCAGCCGAGCCACGACCGGCGTTCTCTTTGAACCAGCTGTAGAAAATTTGGAATCCAAATACACTTTTGTGTTAATTTAGGTCTTTTACTCTCTCTCTCTCTCTCTTTATCTATTTTACAACAACTCGCGATATTAACTACTACACTCTTAAAAATAAAGGTTCCATAGAGCAAAGGTGCCATAGAAGAATTTTTGGTTCCCAAAAGAACCTTTCAGTGAACAGTTCCTAAAAGAACCATATTGAAAAACATTTTAAAAATCTAAAGAACCTTTTTCGACAATAAAGAACCTTTTCTGCATTTGAAAGGTTCCATGGATGTTCAAGGTTCTTCATAGAACCATTGATGCCAATAAAGAACCTTTATTTTTAAGAGTGTACATGCTCACAGGTTTTTTGCATGTGGTAAAAAGCAAACATTAATATCACAAGCATAAGCTCACCTCAGCGTTTGCATGTCAACATAGTTTTTAGGTATGAAGCCCTCATGACCATGTAGCTCTGCCTTGAACCACTCGTCTTGAGATCCCAGGATCTGTTTAGAGCAATATTTGTTCAAATGAATATAAGCCCATTTCTTGATAGGTCCAGGTTTGCACCTACATTTGTGTAAAAACCTCTCAAACTTTATGAAGACATCTTGAATGCCTCATTTTCTTATCAGTCATGGAGCATCCCAAGAACTGTATAAACCCATGTTCAGCAAGTATTTTTTTTCTTTCTGCGATGTTTCCAAGAAATATAGCTGGACTTGTCTTATAAATACTTGTTTTTACGATTTCCTCTGTACACTGTTCCGTTTTTTTGCTAGCATCTGTAACCCTTTTCATGTAGTGGTCAATGCAAATGGTGCACTGAGAGGTCTTTGAAAGCCTTTAGTTTGAGGGCTTCACAACTCTGCAATCAAAGTAAGTGTTTTTTGTGCATTAGAGTACTCTATCACTCACCTTTAGAATGTCTCCTTTCCGGAAGCTGAGCTCATCTTCTTCTTTGCCATTGAAGTCATACTTTCCTCTGGCCTCCATGGTGAACGAAGGGGAGGGTCTACAAGCTACCACAAATGGGAGGAGACACAGAAAGATTAGAGGTTGGAGAAACCAGGGTGATAAAATGAAGAAAATGTAGAGTAAATGTGTTAACCTCAGGCTTGTGAAAGACCAGAGAGGTCAAAGTCCTGCTGATGTTCTAGCTAAGCAGAAGCATGCAGCTGTGGTTAGCTGGCTAGAGGCAATTGTATGCAATGCAAAAGTGCGACTTCATTAAAGTGGAGTAAGTTGGCTCAAAAAAGGCCACTCAGTACTTTTCATATTTCAAGTTCTGACCACTCACAAAAAAAGGTTTTAATGGGGGGGAATAAAGAAATAAATGATTGTATTAACCTATAATTGTGAATGAAGAGGTCACAACTTACTATAATACAATGCCTGTGATCTGAGGATGTTGAGACACTTGTTTAACTGGTTTCAAGAGGCCATCACAGCTCCACCTAAAGAAAAGACAGAGACAGGTGAAAATTAACAAACTAAAAGGAATGGAAGACCATAGATGAAGCCTACATGAATATGCCCTATTGTATGTTCCAGGTCTTCTAAAGTCGAACCATACCTTTTGAGTGGCAAACAGACACACATTTAAGTCATTATTTACAGATTTTTTAAAGGATTTTTAAGATTTTCTTGCAGAGAACTAACCCTTTAAGTCTTTCCATCATTAACACAAAACTCCCCCGTTATCTTTGCAATGGGTGCATTGGAGTTATTCTTTAAGACAATGTTTTTAAGCAAGTTGGCTGATGATCATTTTAACCGGATTGGCTGAGAAGTTTAAAGGTCCTCTCTGTTCTCCTCTGAATTGGGCTTTTCAGAGTGAAGAGGAAAGGAAGGGATGCTGGTAATCAGGATAATTTCCAGCAGGATCAGGACGAAGGAGAGCTGCACAAACAGCAGAGGAGGAAATGCAGATTAAATTATATTTAATTACTACAGTATGATGCATGTCCTTGCCCATCCTCCATTTGAGATGGTGACCGTACAAGAGAAAACACGTGGGTAAACAAGAAATGTGGCTTTGGCTCCCTATAAGAGGAATGTTGCAGAAGTAAACACAAACCTTTAACCCTTTATCGACTTTTAACCCTTAGTTGAACACAGGTTCATCAAGTCTATCTAGGTCATACACTTACTTTGTGGGCCAAATTTAAAGCCATTATTCACTAATAATCATCTAATCTGCTGTAGCTCTCTCACAAGTAATATGGACTATTGTTCTGGTACTTTTATGGGCTTTTTTTTGTGTCATTTTTGAAAATCAGCAGCCCCAGTCATCATTCATTTTCACTGTATGAAAAACAGTGTGTGAATAATGTGAATAGTCTGACTTGTCTTCTAAATGGTTTACTAAACTGTTATTTTTGGTGAACCTATCCCCTTATGTTTAACTGTATAATAAAATATATTAACAAATGCTTCTTATTTAACAAAGGGGTTCACTTGTCAAGACCAGAGCAACACAAAAAGGTACCACAATATTAAAAGGACAAATTACATGGAGTAATAAAAATGAGTCTTACAAAGAACCCAACCATAAGCAAGACTGTAAGACATACTGTATATACACCTTAAATCTTCTTATGGATCGCATTATGAAGATCTTAACATCTTTAAAAATCCTATGATCTGACTTAAAACACATCACTATTCACATCACACATTATTCCTACATGGACCTCTGTGAACAGCAGGGGACATTTCATCCAAAATTTCAAGGGGACATATCACACATGTTTTTTGCCTTCTAAAGTCTTGTAAGCAAAAACAAAATATTACGTTTTTGTATATTTAGCCCTAAATGGTACATATTAGTACTTAATTAGTACCTGGTGACAGTTTTGTACCTTTTTCTCTAAGAGTGTAGTAGTTCATTGCATTTTATTTTCCGATATAATTTTCCACTCCCCTCTTTGGCACTTCAAATTAAACAGTCTATTTTCACTTCTGCGCTTTTAAGAAACACCCATTTCACACATGAAATCAACAACCCAGGCGTTGTTGTGCTGATACGTTTATCTCTTTCATAAAGAGAACATTTTTCTAAATGTTTTCATTCAGTACATCAGGCTCAGGCTCTTTTATCACAAAAGACCATGGACAATTTGATTCCTACCAATATGTAGGTTATTTTCTTTCAGAACTGATAATGATAATGATCTGCAGCTAGCATTGTGCGGCATCTCCCTCTTTCTTACCTGTGAATACAGGCATTGAGAACTTTACTCTCTCAAGCATATTATAGCTTTAAATGATTTCAAAGTGTGCTGCTGCATCAGTGTTTGTGATATTGTCTCATAGTTCACAAAGGTGTTTTAGCCCCGCGACTGTACCAACAATAAACGAGCTGATGTATGCTTTCTGCATAAAATACTGTCCATTCTTTCAAAGAAATTCATGTGCATCTAATCATGCCTCTTGGGGGAAAAAAAACGACTAATTTGTACTATGTTTGCATGTTTTTAAAGATATTTTGCTTTTGCAAGGATGGGAAAATTCTAGAGGTTTCTGTAACGCTTTGTAATATTCTAGTGCTTTCCGGAACATTCCAAAACATTGTGGGACTAGCCATAAAAGACAAAAATCATCAAACTTCTGACGTTTTGGAAGACTCTCTTTTGGTAACTGTTTATGTTCAACTGATGTTAGCTCAAGTATTATGCATGTGCCAAGTAATTTTTATGCATGAGTAATAACAGATTAGCTTGCATAATTGTCAACATATTTTTTGTTTTTGTTTTCATGAGCGCTGTTAATAATGATACAAAAAAAGTATAATTCAGCTCAGCATGTCAAACTCCATAAAGAAACATTAAAATTAAAAGCGAAACAAAACTTTTATGAAAAATCTGTTAAATCTCATGTAATGTTTTTGACCTTACATTGTACATGCTGTGTTAGCCCATCCAAGTGCTGGTTTGCAGTGTCCTACTCCGACATAACTTACGATGTCATCTATTTCAATTTGTCACCTCTAGATTACACTGAGCCACACTCTGAGACATGGATTTGAAGTCGTCTGATCCCTCCCTTCCTCGCCCCTCTGGCCTTGTGAAAAAACATTTCTCAGATGAGCAGCGTTTAGATGTGAGAGCTGATCTGTCAGTCATGTTAATGTACTCTGTCAGTTCCACAGTGCTCAGTTATCTTTGCCTAAACTGAGCTCCTGCCGTACTGCAGACGGGGACAGAGGAGACCCAATGATGCATTTTCAAAAAGCAACAACTTCACATGAAACGAAGTGCAAATTGAGCAACATATGATACTTGGAACCCTAATTTATTCCCTGACTATAAGTGTTACAGAAACACTGTCTGCTCTCTTTTCAGTGATGCACAATTAGTGACGTTTGTGAAGAGGAGAGCTGTTCTGTTTTGGTGTTGTGGATTAAACCGACTTAATTTGACTATGAAAGAGAAAGAGATAGAATATAATGAATGAGACAAAGAGACACAGAATACATTAGACCAAATTAGATAGTTTCTTTGCTACATTAATTAACTAAAGTGAGTTAATATTTCAAAGTTTATCAAAAAGTCCAATAAAAACTTTTTTTTTATACAGGGTCCAAAAGTCCACGTTGAAAATAAGATATTCAAAATCTAATTTAAACTTACAAAAACAAAAACATTATGATGTAAAATGAGTATGACATATTCAAGACTCTAAACACTATTTCTAGGTCATTAATCAAAAAAGTAGATTTGTGAGATTGATCATGTGATTCTGTACACATGGTCAGAATTTTTCCCTTCTATCGAAGCTCAAGATTCTCTTTGGATTATTCTCAAATCATGTTGGAGAACAAGATCCTCGGGTTTAATTCATGCTGCTATCATTAAAGCAAAAGAGGTACGAACCAGATACTAAGAAATTCTGAAATTAATTGAAATTAGTAGTGAAATTCAAATTTGCACAGTTTTTTGCACTGATATCATCATTCGTAATTAAAAATCCTTAACACTGTCAGTACTGTTGAACCTGTCACAGTTCATCCGCCCTTCACAGATCTGCACTCCATATCATATTCTGCAAACAGTATGTGTAATAATCTGTAATTATCAAGATAACAAAACTAAAACCATGTGAAGAAATGAATACACCCAAATGCAAATAAAAACTGCATTTTGCAAAAAGCTGTTGAAAACTGATCTCCTGTTTTCCCTTAAACTTGAAACACAGGCCTCAGGGTTCATGCAAACATGACTAGATCAATACAGGCATTACAAGGAAGAAAGACAGAAAAACAAAAAAGCCATTTAAAGACTGAAAGCTGATTTGACTGCTGTGACAGGGGAAGTTGTTTTATGAATAAACACTGAGCTTTAATCTCATTCCCTCGATACATGGTCTCTTTGAATCTAAATGAACAGTCTTTCACATGTCTTTAAATAAACAATTTAGTATCATGAGAAACATAAATGCACTGAGATTCAAAACCAGAAGCGAAAAGTTCAAACGAGCATCAGCGTGTCAGTGCTCTCTCAGTGGGTTGCAACTGTCAAACTTCACACATATATTTTGATCGTTGCAACTTTTAAATAAAACTATAGAGGCAATCCAAATTACTTTACCGTTGTCTCGCAGTTTCACTGTCCGGCAACGAAGAAAAGACAAAGCACCTGCAGCAGAAGTCACCGTCTCAAATCACCCAGTAGGCTACTCAACTGCTAGTCCGCTACCTGCATGCCCTGCTTGGCACAGTATGCACTCACAAGAACGAGCGGAACAGTGTTACAGAAACACTGTCTGCTCTCTTTTCAGTGATGCACAATTAGTGACGTTTGTGAAGAGGAGAGCTGTTCTGTTTTGGTGTTGTGGATTAAACCGACTTAATTTGACTATGAAAGAGAAAGAGATAGAATATAATGAATGAGACAAAGAGACACAGAATGCATTAGAGCAAATTAGATCGTTTCTTTGCTACATTAATTAACTAAAGTGAGTTAATATTTCAAAGTTTATCAAAAAGTCCAACAAAAACTTTTTTTTTATACAGGGTCCAAAAGTCCACGTTGAAAATAAGATATTCAAAATCTAATTTAAACTTACAAAAACAAAAACATTATGATGTAAAATGAGTATGACATATTCAAGACTCTAAACACTATTTCTAGGTCATTAATCAAAAAAGTAGATTTGTGAGATTGATCATGTGATTCTGTACACATGGTCAGAATTTTTCCCTTCTATCGAAGCTCAAGATTCTCTTTGGATTATTCTCAAATCATGTTGGAGAACAAGATCCTCGGGTTTAATTCATGCTGCTATCATTAAAGCAAAAGAGGTACGAACCAGATACTAAGAAATTCTGAAATTAATTGAAATTAGTAGTGAAATTCAAATTTGCACAGTTTTTTGCACTGATATCATCATTCGTAATTAAAAATCCTTAACACTGTCAGTACTGTTGAACCTGTCACAGTTCATCCGCCCTTCACAGATCTGCACTCCATATCATATTCTGCAAACAGTATGTGTAATAATCTGTAATTATCAAGATAACAAAACTAAAACCATGTGAAGAAATGAATACACCCAAATGCAAATAAAAACTGCATTTTGCAAAAAGCTGTTGAAAACTGATCTCCTGTTTTCCCTTAAACTTGAAACACAGGCCTCAGGGTTCATGCAAACATGACTAGATCAATACAGGCATTACAAGGAAGAAAGACAGAAAAACAAAAAAGCCATTTAAAGACTGAAAGCTGATTTGACTGCTGTGACAGGGGAAGTTGTTTTATGAATAAACACTGAGCTTTAGTCTCATTCCCTCGATACATGGTCTCTTTGTGTTATGTGCTTTTATGCCGAGGCCCAGTGTTTTCATACCTTAGGAATATATGCTTTGGGGAGGACTGCGCTGATTTACAACTGGACACAGGGTATGTACAAGTAAAACAAAATGAAACAATTTGCGAATTTAAGAGTTGATATTACGATACATTTATATTGGTAGAAATATGGAAATTAGAAACTGCAGTGGAAAAGGGCTTCTGTTGTAGGCTATGTGTGACCCTGGAGCACAAAACCAGTCTTAAGTCGCTGGGGTATATTTGTAGCAATAGCCAAAAATACATTGTATGGGTCAAAGTTATAGATTTTTCTTTTATGCCAAAAATCATTAGGATATTAAGTAAAGATCATGTTCCATGAAGATATTTTGTAAATTTCCTACCGTAAATAAATAAAAACTTCATTTTTGATTAGTAATATGCATTGCTAAAAACTTAATTTGGACAACTTTAAAGGCGATTTTCTCAATATTTAGATTGTTTTGCATACATCAATGGAAAGCTTATTTATTCAGCTTTC